CTACGATTAAAAGCATAGAAAAAAAGTTGTTCATTAAAATGCAATTTGTCATAATTCATACGCTCGGCTAAAATAAAGACAGCAAAAATTGCGTCTGACAGTAAGTGTCGGATTTTCCAAGAGATGGCACTTCAATAAGTTAAATAAGGACATTCCACGTGTTTGAGTGAGACCAGAAGATATTGTAAGAAGTTCATTTAGAGATACCACTGACACTGAAGAGTCTGCTTTATCGACCTTGTACAAATTTGGCCGACCTTTCAGCATTCTCTTAAAGCATGTTTTGCTTTAACTTGGTACATCGTTAGAGGTTTTCTATTTTTATAATAGGTATTAGCTCCCCCTTACCCACCTGTGCCCATATTGCCTGCAGTTAGAGAGGGGCTTCGGCCCTCTAAATCTGACATACAGCTATACATACTGAAATATATTATATTAATAATAATATTTAATAAAATGTTTTATAGTGACTTGTTGTTAATAACTTTTTAACGAACAACGAGCGACGACTAAAAACTTCTAGACGGTTACTCATAGTTATGATCTTGACATAATTCGTCAAAGTCAAGGTTATCAGAGCGGCCTTTTATATCGACTTATTTATACACCTCTTTTTATTATTTCATCTTAAAAATGGCTTTTTCAAAGGAATTGGCAAAAAAAGTCTCTTTAAGAGCTTTTATTTTAGCCCAAAATAATAGCTTTTGTCAAAGTTTCATTAAAATCGGAGGTGGAACATTTGCGGAAGTTTGGCCCTTTTTTCTTAATTGTTACATTCTTTTACGACCAACAAAGCTTATATTCTTATATTATACGAATAACAAAGCTTATAACCGTACCTCCAAAAATAGGTTTAGCGACCTCAAAAGTGTAACGCGCCTTGAAGCCACTGTAGACAAGCTCAGAATCGGAATGTAAGATCACTTTCAAGCCACGAGCACCAAGATTCGATTCTACCGGGCCTGGTGCGGTCCCGCCGCAATACCTTCCTATCAGCTTCTCTGTATCGTCGCGGTACATGTTATAAATCTCTAACCAATCTTCCTGGCAGAGTTCGTATCTAATAAATACCAGACAATATTTCAATTAATACATAACGGTGCAAGACATACATAATTATGATTCACTCACCCATAATATCCGACAGTCACATTATCATTACTCGTGCGAACCTTAAAGTGATCGAAGATCAGAGCAACCTGTTCATTTTGCGTGGCCAAAAAGAAATACGTGCAATTCGTGTCACTCGGATAATTACTGGGATATCGCGGTGAATTAAATTCGCCGCGTTTACGAGAAGAACTGAGATAAGTGAAAGTACAACTGCCATCGGGCGCCGCGGTGCCTGGTATCTTGTATTCCGTTTCAAAAGTGTATCTATCAATCAGAATTAGGTAGTAATTAGTGAAAAAGTTAGGAATCAAAAAATAAAAATAAAAAAATATATAAAGTTAATAACTTAACTTAATTATTTTTGAATGAGTTAACTTTTAACTATAACTTTTATACATTTATTTTTTTTTTTAAATTTATTTAAATAATTTATTTTTTTATTATTTAAATAAGTTTTTAAATTTTTAAGTTTTTAAATTTATTTATTATTTGAATAAGTTATTTTTAATATATTTAATTTCTTAACTCGTTAACTTTTTTCTAAATCAACATTTTTTTATCTCTCTAACAGTACCAATATTCTTTTCTTCTATAAAATCTTGAATATTAGACAATCAGTTTTTTTGTTATGTTACTTTATTATTTTAAATAAAAAGAGACTAAAAATTTCCTATCAATTACGGTAGCGTTATTCACTATAGATAGCGGTCTAGTTTAATTTACTATTTTTATATTTTTATACAATTTGCCCAATAAACAAATTTTTTAAGATTTTCAAATTGCATTTTATTGTTATTTATTATTTTTACTAATTTTTTATTAAAAAATAACAATATCCGAAATTTAAGATTATTATATTATAGAGCCGTTTTTGTAAATTTGTATTGAAAACTTATGTTTAAAAAGGACCCTGCACAAATCTTATGGAAAAAAAATCCTAGTTAAATTGGTTGAAATTTTACTATAATGTAAATCATGATGTCCTGATCATTAAAAGCCTTCATGGGCACGAAGTCCAAAAATGGACAGTTTTCGAGATATTGGGGGTCAAATGTTGGAAATATGGCTATTTCTTACCTATCGAGCAGATGCAGTCACTACGGACAAAGTCCGTGGAGCAAGATGAAATTCTGCCGACGTATTTCACAGGATAGGACAAGATGAAGGAGATAATGGGAAAAATCCAAACTATCTGAAGCAAAATCAAGAAAAGATCCAACTAATCAAGACAAGATGAAGTAAATTCAGCGAACCAATGCAAGATTGGATAAAATCCACCCAACTAAAGCAAAAGCAGGAAAAGATCCAGCAAACTACGGCAAAATCAGAAAAAGATCCAGCCAATCAGTTCAAGACAAAATCAGGAAAAGATCTTTCCAACCAAGGCAAGATTGGATAAAAATCAGCATGAAGATAAAATTAGTATATAATTCAGTTAGGCAAGGCAAGATGATTAATTCAGTCTCAAAAAATCTTTGTCATTAAAATATAAATTGAGAAATTATATACATAGGAAGAGGCACTTAAAACAGACCACCTGAATAATTTCTGAACCCAGGTAGAACACAAAAGTCATAATGATATTATTATGAAGTCATATGATATCATATGGACGTCATTATATTATAACTTCATTTGTCACTTATATGTCACAAATAATATAAGAAGTAACGTCATTTGTTTCTATGTTCTACCTGGGAATGGTTCGAGATATTGGATTGAAATTGATAGGGTTACAATGGCATCATGAAATATATTATTTAACCTTGAAAACACTCACTTCAACCTTTCAGGGGAACGGGGAGAAAGAGGTTGAAAATCTTAAATAGCATGTAAGATCGAGTGAAGGCTCGTTTAAAAGGACTTTCCAGGAAGAACGCGGAGTCGTTAACAATTAGGTCTCTACAATTCTCTTTTACAAAATTCTGCTCATTTGAACATTTGTGTTATTTAGTACTAGCGAGAGCCCACGGCGAGAACATGAAAAAGATAAGGCTTCGTGCTTGTTCTTAAGTGAATGGAAGTGTATATAGAAGAGTACGCACGCGCGCGTGCGCGTGCGCGTGTGCGTGTGCGTGTGCGTGTGCGTGTGCGTGTGCGTGTGTGTGTGTGTGTGTGAGATGCACAAAGCCTTATCTTTCTCGTCCTCACCGTGGATCTTACTAGCACTGAATAACAACAATTCAAATGAGCATAACTCTACGAACAAAAATCGTAGAGACGTCATCGACCTTGCGTTCTTCTCATCTCAAAAAGCCTTTTCAAACAAGTCCTCACTCGACCCCATATGCCAAGATTTTCAACCCTCCGTCCTTCTTGAAGGGTTGAAGTGAGTGTTTTTAGAGTTAAATAGATTTTATAATGCCATTTAACCCTATAAATTTTAATTCAATATCTCGAACCATCCAAAAATTATTCAGATGGCCTGTTTAAAATGTTTACTCTGTATATAATAAATATTATTTATGTAATCATGTCCTCGTTCCTAAGGATGGCTATTTTTTTTAATTGGCTGTATTATTTACACTAGTCACTAGCTATGTAAAGTAAATATATTATACAGCTCTTTTTTAATTCATACTTGGGAATAGCGCTAGCTATTTTTTTCTCTATCTATTGACTCAGTACGAAGGTGATCATATTCCTATCCTAATCATATTACCCGTACTTATCCTACATATCTATTTCATCTGGTGCTGTCCCAAGAAATTCTGGTTAATTTTCATTTTAATCCTTGCATTTTGTCCACAGTGATGTACAGTGTTTCCTATAAAAATAGATGACCATATTTCCAACATTTGACCCCAATATCTCGAAAACTGTATTCATTTTTTAACTTCGTACCCATAAGAACTTTTAGTCAATTCATCGTTTATCATAATCTTACATTATAATAAAATTTCAACCAATTCGACTGGGATCAATTTTCTATAAGATTTATGCGAGATCCTTCAGATACCAGGGCAGTTTTATATAAACAGTTCTAGTAATGAATATAAAAAAAACAGATGTTATTTGTAATGTGTTATCCTTAATTTTTAAAAACAGTTAAAAATAGTCTATTTATATTATATTAAATTACTATTTTTATTCAAATAACTTCTTATCTTTTTTTATTAAAATTACTATTTATAACATTCTTAGGAATCATAATTTAATTGTTTATTAAAAAAGTACGATAAAATTTAAGAAAAATTTAAGATGTAAGATAATAAAAAAAAAATTCTTTGAAAAGATTCATCTTGAATAATGTACTAATAGTGCTACATATGCACTCACTTAGCTTTAAAACCCTGTGCCTGCCCTTCTCCACTACTAAATACCATTACGAGTCTTGGCCCGTCACTAACTACATGGTTCGGATTGCTGTTGTTACCACACATCTCATAATCGAATTTGTCGTAAGAATCCGTCGCTTCTTGACCTTTTAAATATAATTTTAGATAGCCGTCAGTACACGTCGTCCTGAAAAAACCCGAAAAAGAATACGGTGCATAAATGACATTTACGCATCATCACATACCGGTATTTAATAAATATACTTGATACTTACTCTCCCTTGGGTATCTGTATTGTAAACACTTGAAATTCCAGTCGCACGCGCTCTAGATGTTGCGCGTCTTGCATACCGTAGATAAAATAACGACAGACGACCTTAGGTAAATAGGGATATGGAAAATTTGGACTAACTACGACTCCCGATGTTTCCTTCTTGCTAAGAATCTTTTGATCACATTCGGACCCACGGATATGCTCGCCTTGGTATTCTGTTATAAAATCTGCACAATGGAAAAGAAGATAAGTATCGACTGACTGCACTATTGTTCAATTTTATAAGCAATAAATGAGAATCATGATCGTCTTACCCAGACTGACAAAACTCTCTGAAAACTCAAAGATGCCTTTAAATCCTCGATTTTGCGTATTCGCCGTGCGCTTCAACGTAGAAAATAGTACGAATAAGCTGTTTTCCGAGGAGTACAATACTAAATTTCGTTGCTGGCCGCAATACGTGCCGATAACAGCAGTCGAATTATCAGGACCATCGTACACTTTCACGTAATCTAGCGGGCAACTGGAATAATTTCAAATTTTGTTATTAACTTGAATTAATTTATGTCATGTCGCTATATAGATAGTAGTAATTAATACAAATAAATTTAAAAAATAAAATATTCTATTTAAAAAATGAATAATGTAACAGAAAATAATGATTTTTATTGTATAAAACTAATATTTTTTAATATTTTAACATTTTTATGTGAAAATGTATATTTATAAATATGTAATAAATTTAAAATTTTATAAATATAAAATAAATTTTTTAGTTTGGCTATTATTTATTAGAGATTCTCTATAAAAATTTTAATTTTATATATTTGAAAAAAATTTGGACTTGTATGTACGTACTGTGGCCCCCCAAAGAACAAATCAAAGTCACGAAATTCCAACCGCACCCGTTGTCCACGCCGCCCAACAAATTGATAGCTACAATTAAGATCTTTCGGATAAGTGCCAGGATAAGTGGGAGACAGTATGTTTCCATTACGTTTGGTTTCCGCATCTATTATAAAAGTGCACGGTGTATTTGGTTCTGGTGTGCCAACCTCATACTCAGCTGTGAATAAGTTAAATATTATTATATTTACAATGTTTTTAAAATACAATCAAAGGAGCAGTGTCATTATGAACGTTTTTGGGCCCCCGCCAAATTAGCTCATATTGGACTATTTTAGTCCTTATCATAGGACACGAAACCCTGTAAAACAGTTTCTTGAAAGATCTAATAGTTTTAGAGACGTAGGCCTTGAAAAAAATCTAAATGTAGGTATATGGGATTTTAGGTTGTGACATATTTATAGATGTTCTGTTCATTGAAAGAGTTTATCTTCCTAAATATTACTCAAAATTATGTCATATGTATATGCAAAATAAAACATATGTGAAAATGAGAAGGATTGAGTAATGCCATCGATGTTATATTCAGCTCTGAAATTGAAAAAGGGCAACGACCACAATTTAAAGAAAAGCCTTTTTCGAGATATTCGGGTTAAATGTTGGAAATATGGTCATTTATTTTTATAGAGGAGACACTTGTAACAGGGCTCCCCTGAGAAAGCCCTATTCCGCGGGTTACAACTATCGCGGTCCATTGACGGCCTCCATCCGAGTCGGGAGGAAATGCCTGTTGTGGCAAGGAGCACTGTGGCGCTCCACATATTTTATCATTTTAATTAGAGCGCCGATCATCCGCGCTACGTACGCGTACCGAGCGCGTCAAACTGCCGACGACCGTAATCATCGTGTGCATGCGCACTAGAGCCGCGGGCTTCGCACATAGCTCGACCGTGTTTAATTATTTATCCTATTGTCCGTATATATTTTTGTTATTTGTCACGTCCAAGCGTTTTGTTAGTTAAAAGACCTAGGGAGGGAGAATACACAAGGGATATAAATTTCGGCACCCGCGTCCACGCTTTTAGTTATCTCTGAGCGACGGCTCTGATTGATACCGATCCGTCGCTTCCTTTTCCAAATCGTCAAAGCCTACGAGCACCAGAGGCCGGGAAGTTCCTGACCTCGGCCCGGCCGATACCGACGGCTCGTTTCGGCCTTGACTTCCTGATTTATACTCGATCGAGCACGACAGTGGTACGACCGTTGCCTGCCACGGTCCGGTAGTTGCCGGCTAGCCAAAATCAACTTCTTAAACGTTTTCCACCGGATCAAGCACGATAGTGGTAGGGCTGTTGCCTGCCGCGATCCAGCAGTTGCTAGATCAAACAGATTCCCGATCCGCGTAACAACAGAGGTGTGGTCGATGCCCGTCTCAGTCTTGCATTTGCCGGCCGCCAATTTAACTACATCGCGAATCCCGCCTCTTAATACACGCGAAATGTGATGCCGTGTCGTAACCAAGTGCCAGGTGTCGGGTTGGGGCACGATGTAAGTGGACGTGTGAAAATCCTCTATCCGCCGCACAGTGTGATATTTTCGCAATCTAGGTGGAAAAAATTATTGCGCCAAAGTATATTAATTTTCTTTTGCTTCTGCACGATTTGAATGTTAAAGTAACATAGTTTAGAGTAAATTTTATCCTTTTTTAGAATCATTTGAAATTTTAAACAGTACGTTTTATAATATACCAAACATACTATATTTATATAAATGTGCTTGTAACATATTATACCGCGTCGGGATTATTTTTACGTTAAATCTAGTCCCTTAGTCTGTACAGAAAACGCAAAATTTTTTGCGCATATTTGCGAATTCAATTAATATAAATAATTAATACACAAATTACGCATTAATCATTTATATTAATTGAATTCGCAAATATGCGCAAGAAATTTTGTGTTTTCTGTACAGCCTAAGGAACTAAGTTTAACGTTAAAATAATCTCAACGCAGTATAACATGATATAACATACTAATAAATTCTATCCTATATAAATATATTTGTAACATATTACATCGCGTTATACTGCGTCGGGATTATTTTAACATTACACCTAGTTCCTTAGGCTGTACAGAAAACGCACAATTTCTTGCGCATATTTGCGAATTCAATTAATATAAATGATTAATGCATAATTTGTGTATTATTATTTATATTAATTGAATTCGC